TAAGACACCGTAAAAGCAAATCAAAGTGAAGAATAGTCAGGTGATAAGAGTCCTTTCGCCAAAGACGCAATCCTTTTTTCACAGCCGCTGCACTGGAGGCAATCGCGTTGAGAGATTTCGGTGATTTCGAAGAACAACAGCGAAACCGGTCGCTCGATAGTGCCTAAACAGCGTACCTGGATAGAGGAGGCGGACCTTGTATAAGGACAGCAACTTTGCTATGGCAACATTCCGCTGGAGGTCGCCTAAGGAGATCCGCCAAAGGAGTTAAACTCAAAGACGAAGAAAAACCAGCTGCACACAAAGGCATCCGTCACTTCGTGCTCTTAGAAGCCTCGATAGGTCCATTAAGTGCTTTAGGGCCTGACTCCTTGTTTTAAGTCCTGTGCTTGGAGTCACTATTTACAGTTAGGCTAGGCCTGACTAGGCCTGACCCGGCTATTATTGCGTCTGTTTGTCGACTGTGCTGCTGAGAAAAACACCATGTAATTATAATAACTATTTTTATAATTGTCCTCCAGTAGATTGTATAATACGTGAAAGAGCTAGCGATAAGTTGGTTACCACACCTAACATTTAATTTCTACAATGCTTTGTTCTGCTCAAAAAATCAAATAATAAGAGACCTTTTCAACTAAGTTTTCGTCACATGATCCGCTACATTTCGTTGCTACAAATGAATCCACAATAAGTAGAATCTTTTTAATGAAACACTGGAAGTTTTGCGAGTATGTTGAAACAAGGCCAGCGAAAGAATGTATCTGAAAAACGTATACGTGCAGCTCGAATCGCTAGAGTTAGTGGTCGGCTACATGTGCCATAAATTACCAAGAGCCAAGGTCATCATCTAGATATAACAAAATAGAGCAAAGTATGTCGACGCACTTTGGCTTGCCACTAGCGAAATAACTTATTTATTTATTATTATCTCAATGCTAAAAACATGCGTTATAGAGTGTGTCAAAAGCTAACAGGATTTTTCCGTCGACAGACTAGTGCTTTAGTTGACCCGGCGCTAGATCCTGTTTTGGAAATAGAGAAAGTTCTTAAAAGTTACTCGAGGGAACAATGTCTCTGCTGAAGGTGGTTTGTAGCCTACCGCGATATGAAGCAGGTCGCGGTGTCCGTCACAATGGCATTGAAACCCGCGGAAAACCACTGCCAGAAGCAGCTTTCAGCGCTCGGATTACGGCCCGATGTTACTTTCCGGACCGGCACGAGCCGAATAAAACGGCAATGGCCGACCAAGACAGAGATTTGGAAGATTTTATCGCCTAGAACCTACCTCAACCTCCAGAAAGGCGGTGCAGAGTCGGCACCGATTCAAGCGTATTGCGCCGCTCTGAGTCTCAATTACACTGCCGTCAGACCTTGAGTTAGGCTAGCTTTTCGGACTTCCGGCGCCACAAGCTCGGGCCTAATAAAAACTCCGCGCTCTTGCAATAATAATAATGCGTTCTAACGTCTTCGCCTATCATGCCCTCCAAATAGACTACGAACATAGCATGTTACACCCCTCCGAGTAACCTATGAACCTGGTCTATCATGTCCGTTCGAGTAACATACGAGCTTAGCCTGCCATGCACCTTCGAATAAACTCCGAATATCGAAGAAACTTCGAACAAATCGAACTTGGAACAGCGTTTCCTTTACCTTGACCCGGTAGGCCAGGTCGACCTTGAGTACAGACATACGGACGTAAAACCCTTCTCCTAATTTAGCAACTATAGGACGCCGCTCTGTACTAACGGAACGGTCAGGCGCGAAAAAGCGTCCACATTGGCGTTGGCGGAACTCTTCCTATGGAGGACCTTGAGGTCGTATTTCTGTAAAGTCAGAGCCAAGCGCGTTGGAACCTAGAGCCGTTTAGTGGACAGCCTCAAAGTCGCATTCCCGTTTTTTTTTTCATTTTCTATGGTTTTGGTCACCACATTATGCTAAGAGAATGCAAATAATGGTCCAGTTCATAGACTATACGCGCAGATGACCTTCTTATTTGCCCCATATACGAAAGGACACAGCGGGTGTAAAAATATTATCGACTAAAGTAGATTGAAATTTTCGCTAGAACGCGGCTGTGCCAACAAAGAAATATGTTGCGCAGACACACAATCCAGCATAGAGTAGAACCTACCTTTCTAAACGTATTTGAGTAGATATTGCGTTTGGAGGAAAAATGTATTTATCTTGAAACTTACTCGAACATCATTACAGGAATTAGACAAAATTGGATGAATAAAGTAAATGACCTTCAATAATGTCTGTCAAACGTATTACGATCACATTTATAAGCTGAATATCCTTCTCATTTGTTTGCAGCAAAACGATGTCCTTCTCCTAACTAACTAATGACAGTTGCTGAAGGCGCCTATAAACATCTTACATAACGGACGGAGATATAACTTTTTGGTAACACAATGCATAGTAGTACAGCAAAGCGTTACATCGAAAAAAGAATTATTTCTGGAAGGCCAGAGTCCATCGCGTAAACTTAGCAATAAAGGTTCGTTTTTCCTTCAGGTTATTAATAGAACATTGCCAGTAACAACCTTGAAATGTCACCCACACAAATACGATCGGCATTCTTAAACAACTCGTACAATCCTAAGCGTTCGGTCTCGGAAATTGTATCTAGCCTCGATATAAGCCAAACGGCAGTCTGCGTAGCACTGCCCCTAGCAAAAACCTACTGACGTTCACGTTAAACGTCGTACAAAGCTCGCTTTATGGTGGAATTTAGCCGGCGGTAGTCGATGCAGAAACGTGCTTTCCCGTTTTCATTAGTCGAAACACCGCATAAACGTACGTCCCGTTTTCGATAGCTGATGTAAAAACGTAGTACTGCGTTCTGGTTTTTTCTTTACCAAAACTCCTGGAAAAGGCCACGGGTTGTTTGGGACTCAATAATGCCGTTGCACAGCACAGTTTGAACCTCATGACCTGCGTCTCCGCGAATGCAACCCGTTACAGCTAGAAACGGTTCGGTCACCCTCTCGCTTCATTCTCTTAGAGTGATCCGATTAAGGTAATGTAGGCAGCACTTGACACTGGACCCTTCACATCTGTGCATACAACACTACACGGGAACCCGCTGAAGTCCTTAAAAACTCGTCCAGTTGCGTTATAGTGCAAGAGTGGGGTGGTTTACTTAAAAAAAAAACAGACCACAACGTCAAGCACTCCCCTGGAACCGTTAGCGGGGTGCGCTGCGCATCGTATAGGCATGCGGGCTCCAAGCACTTTGCGATCTACAGCGAGCCCAGGTTACCCACCAGCCATCGGTAGATTTTTACGTCCAGCCCATAGCCAAATGCGGCAACTGCCTTTCCGCGATGGAGTTTGATCTCGACCACAAACAGGTCATCGGCAGCCATGTTTATACGCCCCGATGAAGGCACGGCATGAGACATCGATTACTGATATGACCTTGCTTACCGCAGCTGAAGCCTCTGCGGCCGATTGATAGACGTCCATGGAGCCTCTCCGTCGTTCTGCACCCGCCATCACTTACTTCGAACCTCCTTTTTGCTCGACGTGTCTGAGCTCCGATATTTGCGGGGAAGTTACGCCAGTCCCTCGAAATTCGCCAGCACCGAAGTTTGCGTCATGAATGAAATGAGTAGAGTATTTGCTTGGCACGCATATATGACATTCCTCGAAAGCACAGTAGCCACAGTCAGTCTATCAAGAAGCAGTCCTCCTGGATGAAAAGCGTCCCCTTGGCGCCGACTGCGGACATAGTACTAAAATGTATCGGGGCCCATGTGTTTGGAGAATTCCTCAAACATTTTGAACTGTGTCTACGTTACTGAAGTTGTTCCGAATGCCGCTCGTCCAAAGCCCCTACGGTTGTGACCTTGTTGAACGATTTGCTTATAGTAACTTTGAAATGTTGCAATGAAGAAATTCAAGTTCGATGAACTGACACCAAAATACATATGGTTCGAATGGTTGAAATATATAGGTAAATAAAGAAGACAATTTAGTAATATATAGCATAGTAGTTATTAAAGATTAAATAAAGGTTTTTCCTGAATGAAGGCAATACTTCCAAACCAAAGACAACTGGTAATTGGCAACTCTGTATAATATCAAAGACAAATGAAGTGTAGTATACTTGCCTTTATAATATGTAGATCTGATAAATGGCATCTAGAATATCGGATACTAATATTTGTCTAGAATATATCGTCAAAAGCTTTTTATTTAGCAATAAATTATCTCAGCTTATATATCTAGTTGAGCTGCTAAATTATCTTGTTATTCTCAAGCAAGACACCTTAATAACTCCAAAAACTTTGTTGAATTGGCCAGTAGCCGCTAGGGTTGAATACTCCTGTTTCCATTCTCTGTTGTCGTAAAGCTTTCCGGATGCACAGACTCTCTTCCGCAGGCGCGCACCGAATACTTCCCTGCTCTTCCAAGCTCGAAGATATAATAAAAATAACTTCGATACGCCACCGTGCACTAAATCAGCTATTTAACTGGACAGTTTTGCACAGAAGTCCCGACGAATTATTTATGACCTCAATAAGTATTTATTATAACTAGAGTTTCTCTATCGCAAATTGAAGAGTTATAAATTCTTAATACTCACCTTAGTATTAGGTAGGACTATGCGCTTAGAAAAGCAGGTTCCTCTACATCGGCAGATCACTAGATAGGCGTTACGAGACTCATAAGCTTATATTCCCTGTCTGACATTGTTTTTCTATAAGGCGTTATGTCTCGGTGTGCAAGTATCTTAAATTTCTAAAATAAACTGTTTCATGAAAGCTGAAGCAATAAAAATAAATTTACAAAAATAGCATTATGAAGATTCTCGTTATTCTAACATTAATTCCCTCGACAGACAATGAACAAAGCGTTAAGATTCACAGGCTAGTTGCTCAGCTCATACCTGGCGGAGTAACAGGACTAGCCTATGGGAAAGGTGACTTTCAGAAGTTCTGTGTGACACGGTGAATTTTAAAATCATATGTTTATTTTTTTCATTGCAGACGTCAATATCATTGACAAAATTCCAGTGGAGTTTCTCCTTACCGAAGAGGCCACCACGATGACTCCGGAGACGATTACGACGTCGGGTATGCCTGTTAGCAGTTTTCTGATTTGTATTTTTACGACGAGCACCGATAATGATAGCTAAAAGAAAAAAAAAAACGCTAATCTCTACCAAGATGTGTATCGATACCTGTGTTCTGTAATGCAAAACCTACAGAAGAGGCTTTAGTTAGCAAACAAGTTAAAAAAAAAAAAAAAAAAAAGTACAGCGGGACGTATCTGGAAACATACTCGTCCACTTCGTCCTGACTCGATGAATATCGTCTACTGAAGCTAGTAACACAGATTTTTTTCACTCAAACTACTCAGAGAGTTGCTTTCGAACCGTTTCGTCACTCCACTTGATCAGTAGTACTACAAATGCTCTTTTAGTATTGTAAATCCACCATTCAACTATAGAGTAATCAAATGCTGAAAGTAGCTCGTTAGCGAAAAAAATAATAAATATTGCAATATGGCCTTAGACAGTTATTGCTCTCCTGGGCTTATTAATTGTAATAATATTTCGTGCTCTGTGTGATAAGCACAGAGATGCGAGATTCCTGGAAGTTTTGAGAGAGAGGATGTGTCTGTCGGAAAAAGGCGCCCTTGGTTGGATAGCTACTTTCAGCTGCAAAAGTTACTTAGTAGGCCATCTTCGGTTTAGGGCCATCAATGACATTTGTACTGCTGCATTGATCAACGACTCAGCGAAATATTACAATATGCCTATCGCATTGTCCAGGATCATTTTTATATGTATGAACACGAAGCTATCATAAGCTCTCAAATTAAATCTCTTTTAGCCGTACTTTTTTACATTGCGCAAATATAAAATATCCAAATTAATTATTTTCAGTTATGTCAACGATGGCAACGCCAGGAGTCGTGAAGAATGGGGTAACAACAATACCAACTATAATAACAACAGCAGACGCAGTAACCATCGAGTTAACATCAATGTTAGCCTACACTAAAAACATGATTCCTCTTTTACTACAGACGTCCATAGCGTCAGCTTCCGCGACTGCTATATTTGATCGCTTACTCTCGCTTCGTATTAAACGTTTATGGACCAGATGTGCACATACAAACACGATAAAGGGCGGTCCATTTTGCCAACCTTGATAAACCTTTGAGCAGTAGCAAAGGAGGTCGCGCCGTAAAAATAAGCGTCGCAAAAGTGCCACTGTATTCTTACAAAAACATGATATGTTGTTGTTGTTGTGTTTACAGAATTCCCGGAGCGGCGGACAACGCTACCGAAAGCGACGGTTTGTATTCATGGTTTTGTGAGAGCCTGTTAAGCGAGTAAGAACTGCGTTCTTACAGAGTAGGTTCGTCGTAGGTAGAGTAGCATAAGACATATCGAAATAGGAAAGGCGGTGCGCAAGCATAAAGGCAGCCCCTTTGCGACAGCACACACGCTCATACACTAACACGAGCACAAATAAAGACAGAGATGAAGTGTTTGCCGCAACCTCTGCGTCGCCGCTCCCCATCCTCTAGTTCTAAGCGGGCTCTGGTACAAGGAGCGCTGACCCGACGAGAACCCCGAAGTCCAAGCGGCGAACCACACGTTCTTGACAACTGACAGTAACCGCTATTAGTACGAATATTTGACGAGTACGTGCTGTCCTGCCAAGCTGTCAACTTCGCCAAATTTGCGCACTTTTCGGTGGCGAAACAAACGTGCAAGAAAAAAGGGATCAGATAAAGGACGCGGGGGAAAGGGGTACAAAAAAGTAGACGGTGCTTTTTACCGGCGATCTCAGATATGCCGGACGACGTCGAAAGACTTCTCGAAAGGGACCCTTCGACATTCAGGCCGCCTAGATGAACGAGCCTTTTATGTAATGATTCAGCATTCAACAAGCTGAACAGGGACCAACGAATAATACCAAGCAAATCAGCAAAACAGTAATAGTTATACAATAATCACAATGAACTCTTGAACATAGTTTGAGCAACTCTCATTCAACTTAAGCTCGGAACTGAAGCCCAACAGCGCGCAACCGTTCTCCGACAGCAGCTGCTTCAGGTGTGACTTTAATTAAATAATCTGTGTCACGATGGCATCGGTTAAAAAATGATTCTTTTACATAGTTAGTTACTTGCACATGTTCTTACATGCATTAACCTACTTAGCACGGCCCAGACTACCCTTTTTAATTATTTTACATTTAAATGATTAATTTTATTGTAAATAATCTTGCGACAAATCAATATAAGCATGGTATTTTAACGTTCATAGCTTACCGTGTCGCGGTGATATATAACAGTTCAAACTAGATATAATGTTGCGTGGACAGATGATTTTTGTTTGGAGCCTGTTTTAGGATGCTTTTTTTATTCATACATATTGTTAATAGGACTTGAAGCGATTTTGATTTAATCAATTTAATCGAATCGAAAGCCAGAAGACCTAATGTGTACCAGTTCAGTCGCTTATTATTATCAAAAAATTACTGAAACAAAGAATCAAAATTCACTTAAGTTTACCGCCAACCCACCGAACGTATGTAACGAAGCGACAAGTTTCAAAAGTGGGCTTGGAGTTAAACCAAATGGGATTGTGGGCTTACTGTGCGAGGTTAATTAAAATCAATTGAATAAAAACACGTAAATTGAGAGTACGCCTTCCAAACACTAATCGCAATACGGATAATAGCTCATGACGTCAAGATTGAACCTGTGAAGTTCATCGTTCAGGTTTATTTCGAGCTTCAGAAATAAAAATCAGAATGGATCGAATTGGGACACTTATCGGATCACAATTTGTCATCCCTGCAATGTCCGTTCTACTTTCGGTTCACACAAAGCTTCACGAGTGTGATTCGGCTTTATCGCGGCAATGTCCGAGGGCATTTGATCTCCACTGATGTTCATGGTACGATCTACATGATTAGGTCTACCTCTTCATTCCGATTCGTTCTTCTAACTTTTTTTTTTCGACACCTAATTTCAATCGAACTGAGTGTTATGTTTGAAGTTTACGCATCAAAAATGTTGAAGGCGAAGTGTCTCTTGTAATGTTAACTTCTTTAATGTAAGCTACTGGAACCGTTTACGCAAGCTTCTGTCGTTAGCGCACCCGGTGATCGATGCATCATTCGATTCCAGTGATTTTCCGATTGATTTTTTGGCTCAGCGCCGAGTGGAGAAATGCACTAAGTGCAAGATCATTTTTATATTGTGGTTTTCAGAAATTGAACACTTATGTCCATTACGAATGGAAGAGTTAGCCCCGCGACTGGTGTCAGGGAATCAACAGTTAAATTGACACTCAAGAACTAGACCACCTGTTTAGAACACTTAATTTCTTTTGTTTGTGAAATATTTTTATGTACCTGGTGAGCTTATGCCCTTAAAAAGTTGGAATAAGTTACTTTTTTTCCGGACAGGAAGTCAAGAGCATTAGAAACATGTAGAATAAATGCCGATAATAATGCTTGTATAATAAATTCAAGATCGTGAGCAAATGCAGCCGCTATAACATCGGATTAGTTTTATTAAATCCTAAGGAAGTAAATCAAAATAAGCCAAAAACGACTGATGGCTGGCCCGTTGCGATACTAGTATGTATCCCTTCCGAATTTAGAGTACGTTTCATAAACGCAAACTTTTAAATATTTGAAATAATAATTTAAAAACAGATTGCAATATAACATTCAATCTTTGAGGACGTTTGTTTTGATGTCAAAGGGCGATTCAGGCCGCGTTTAAAGCTGACGATGCTTAAATGGTCGAATTCATGAAAACCAATGGCAGTTTATTCCGACGGCCTGAAATAACTGTTGCTCTATAAAGTATGAATCTTCCAAGCTAGCCCAGCTGTCATTTCAGCGTGACAGAACCTGGAGCTGTTCGTTCGACATCGCTAATATAGACCTGTTACGAGGACACTTATTAGGCTTATCTGGACCTCCCTTCAAAGAGCTATAGTAACAATCGACAATGAAGAAACAGGTATCACGTGCTGATAATTTATTGCACCGCTCCGACTGGACCGCCGTAATATGAATTCCTGAAAATTAAACATTGGATATTTTAATGTATATTTATTAATGAAATACTTATATCATTGCTAACGATATAGCTTTAACGATATAGGTTTTCAGCACATTACTGAAATCAGCTCTTACGAATAACCTGTATGTAATTGTTTCAGACTCTATTTTACACATCGTTGAGTACGCCTTCAACCCCTTTTACGGTGGCGATGAAGTGTCCGCTAGCCCCGTTGGGGCCGACAGGTATGAAGCAAATGGCCTAAACTAAAACTCCAAGTGAATGTGCAACACATTCAAAGCTCCTACTATACATCTTTCACATGTCCACTTAATCATTATAGCTTATAAAGTGAGAGAGACTTCAGCATAATTCGAAAACACTTAGTATCCGTCGCTTAAATCTGAAGTAAAGATGAACCAGTTTCTTCTTGCCGACGAAGAGTATACACTTTACCATATAATTTAAGATCGTCTCATAATGTTACCCTTTCATTGTAAAAAGTAAAAATCAGTCTTGTATATATATATATATATATATATCTATATATATATATATATATATATATATATATTATTCATAATGTACACTACTTAGTTTAATTTGGAGGGGATGATAAGTACCTACACAAGTTGCAATGTGCTAATAGTAACTTAACTTTTAATAATACTACCTATCGGCTGGAAATTACAGTCTGGCTTATATTTACATGAAAGATGTTCAATTGAAATACTTACAAAACTTCGTATTGCAAGAAGTTCAACACTGGAACCACGCTCGTCCACGTCTATTGAACCAGTGGCATCAACAAAGGCACCGCCTCTAGTCACGTATTCAAGTCCAACGGGTGTCACGTCAGTATTAGCAAATGTCTCTTCTGTTTCACATGGAAGCACTTCATCCCTCAATATCACGACCAAATCTTTCCTCGCCTTCTTCACGAGAAAACCGTCCGCGATCACTGAAGCGTCCGCATCATCTACGAGTTTAGAGAAGTTTGATAATTTCACAACAAATGCGAATGCCACCGCGGCAATGGTTACCAGCTCAGCTAAACTTCGTCACCTTAACATAGCCAGAGCACCGACCCGCCCCAAGCTAGCAGCACCTCTTCCCGCGCCCCCACCGTCCATGCATGCTGACAATGAGAAGTTTCATTCTCCACTTTTAACAGCAAGTCTTGCCTGCCTTGCTCTGATCTTAGCAACCATCATAGGTACGTAAAGGCATTATAGTAACAAGCATTTAATGGAAAAAGAAGCCTAAGAGATTGAAAGCTTGTAAAATAAATGAGTTGGTCGCATTTTAATCCTATATATTACATATTTATATATTGCCGACAGAATTCATTCTTACAGGTAATAAAAGTTTATTTCATATATTTATAAAAGGACCCAATTAAAAGTTACAACAACGGCATAGTGCAATAATTTAGTGTATATGATAGGAATATCCATATTTTTTTAAATTTAAGTCAATCTAAAATCCAACATTTATTATATTTCTCTATGATTATTTCAGTTACTTTTATTATCTGAAAAGTTAGAAAAAAAGTCGAACAAGTTCGACAAGTTTACATGCTAGCCCACTTAGCTCTCCCTCTAAATAAATACAAAAAGGACCAATATCCTGGTGCTAGGTAGGTGCTAGTAGTGGTCACGTTATTTGCCTATTATATTCCGTAACTTGCAAGTTATAAAAACTAGAATCATTCGAAATTTTAAAAAAGCACTAGAACATACCCTAAAGGTAGCAATACATAAAATACTAGGAAATAGTTCGAAAATCAGTTATAGATAAAGTGATAGTATGTGTTACGCCGTTTCGCGTCTGGCGTACTAAAGACATACAACTACTGAACAATATCATTTAAAAAAAAATGTCGCATTCGTATCCGAACAGATCGTGTACATTTAATTCGAAGTTTATTTTGGGATTCTTTTAGATAACTTGGATCAGCTCTGCCCCATAAGAAACAGATTCTCAATCCATTGCACACGTCGTGAAGCTACAGCGCTTTCTTACGGTGAATCTATAAAAACTGTAGTCAGCTATAGACGGAACTTGTGCGGACTAGTTTGAGTTCTGGCACATGCCAAGACTGTATCTGCCATGCAGGGATTCCCTTTTTCCTTTCTATGCAAGGATAGGCCAAGCATATTTTTACTGGTAACACGCCGCCAGGTCTTGGGACATACTACAGTGTAGAAAATACTGCATGTCTTTAAATCGTGTTTTCGGATACACCATTATGAAGGAACCATGCGCCCGTTTTCATGCTGATATTGAAGTCATATTATAGGTACTAAAGAACTTAAGGTATAAAGCTTTGAAAAGTTTACTGGTACAATGTGCAAAAACATGTAACCTTCCAAAATAGCCGTTTCTATATGTGAGAGATGAAACTAAGGATCGCGCAGCGGACAGAGCCTGCGACGCAAGGCTAATCAGAACATGTTCCGCAAGCTCAATATTATAGGGCCACAACGTGACAGACCGGCTGAGTCTGGCGGGGGCCTGCCTTGCGTCCGAATGTCTTTGGGCAGTCTAGATTATAGCAGAAAGTGGCCCATGCAAGGTGCTCTCTGTGGAACGGTAGCCCTCATCTGTATCGCTTGGAAGTTGTTTTTGTTTTAACGCATACATAACACATACATCTCTTCTATATTGTGTATGTCAAAGAGATATTGGCTAAACAAGCGTATCACCGTGAATTTGGTTACTTTAAAAATGACTTGTTTATAAATAAATCTACATAAGAACTTTATCTCTCTAGGGTAATCATTGCTGCGCAAGCTTAGTATTGTACGACTCAAGAAGCTAGTGAAACATGCAGGTTAGTCAACGAACGCTTAGGGTAGACGGGTTTTGACTAACCGGGTTAAACGGTACCTGGATTATACATGTCGTTTTTGTTTTTCAGGAAGCGTCTGTGTAGTGGTCATCGTCCGACGAAACCGTGGCGACAGTTTCTTTATTCTCACTAACTCCGAGCCGGAGTTAGTAATGGACTACATGACGCCTCGTCCAAATCCTGAAGGCATGATCGAGCCGATCCGTCCCGAACATATAGCTCGTAACAGCAGAATTCTATCTTCGCATACTAAACTTTTTCCACCAACAGCGCTATAACAGTACTGATCGTCGTCAGAAAATCTGCTCTTGGAATATTTTTTCCGACATTAACGCTGCTATCGCTCATTGCCCAATAGACCTCAGCAATTCAGTCAGTGTTAGCGTATGATGTATTGTTATAAGTTATTCCGTCAAAAGCAAAATAGAGACAGAACAGACCTCGAAAATGCGACTTAATATGTAGGTAGAAATGTCCGTCGAGCTCTGCATAGCAGCTGTTTTCGATCGCCAAGTGAAAAATAGCATAGTCTAGCCCGGTTGTAAGAGAGGCTGAGAATTCGCGCGGCTAATGGGCAGACCAATGTTTCCGCGAATGACCAAGGACCTCGGTCTGAGCTTGCTCAGTTGTAATCTGGTGACTTCTAGCCTATTTATTGTCCTATTAGATGCTGACGATGGCCGATTCGGGAAGCTGGTCGGATTTAAGATCTCGAAAAAGCAAAGACTAACTCTATTTTGTTTTTGACAGCAGCCGGACTTGAGCGTATTACTGATACGATAATTTGTGTTTGCCGTTGACGAAGGTGTTGCTCCTATTATATAGTGTCAACAAGTACTACATCATCAACAAAACAACCTGTTAATTGTTGTTGGAGCGCATAAAACGTAAATTACGTTTGCCCAATATCGAACGTACATAGGTCAGCGTAAAACAGTTGAGCGGAATTTATAAGCCTCCCCAATTTACCTGAGTTCGGCAAACTGAGCCTCAATACTTAAAAGCTTAAAAATATCAAATGAAAATCAAAGGGAAGCGATATCGATACCATCATATTTTTATTTCTAATAGACATTTTAGGACACAGCATCTGCGTCGCATTGAATCATTTGTGTATGAGTGGTTTAGAGAACGTTTTACTGATGATACGACCTGTCCATGGAACACGATCGATTTTATCCTATTAAGTGAGTCAGGATAAACTCTAATTAACTTATTCAATATTGAATTAATAAGGATCCCCATATGAGTACCGCAGACACTCCCGCCGTCGACGATATCGTTCATTATAAAGAAATTAGCGTTGGGAGGCTTTAATTCGTCAAAAAAGTACCACGTTTCTAATAAGGCATAGAGCAAGGTAGCGATTCGTAAACATAGGACATTTTCATAATTTCTCGATTGAAGAGTTCGTTCCAGAGTTTCAGTTAACGGAACTTTGGTCCGTATGCATTACGACTTCATGGGCTATTTCTTGTACAGAAATATCTCTAGAATCGCGCTTCTCGAAAAAGACCATTGTAGCAAACTATCTTACTTATAACCTAAGGATTAAACATTCTGCCTTTGTATGGCCTGTCTATGAATTTTAGCAGTCGTCCACAAGTGAAGAGCGTCGTCGAACAATATCGCGTTGAGTTCCTAAATGTTAAGTGATTTCCATTCTTCGACCGCGTGCCGAAACCGCGTTCTGGAGCACTTGTCGATCATGTACTTTTTAGGGGTTTAACACTTCGAAGCCTGGAAGGAAAATACCGTTTCTGACAATTGTTCATAAATAGTGCTCTTAGAAGCTCACTCGTGCATTGCTGTGTCTTCCGCACAGAATACACGAACAAGGTACGAGATATTTCAATAGCTGAATAAAGTTCAAAGAAAATTTGAAATAAATTTTGTTCCTGATAATATAGGTGCTTATAATGCCGTTTTATTATTCACTAGATTCATAGAACTAAATAGGCGCATATAGGTTCCAAGTTTCGATGGCAACAAAATCGTCACCTCAGTTGTTTTGACCCTTCTTAAATAGTCTAATTTTAATTCTTCTTATAATTATGCGCATGTGTTCCTATAACATTCAAATATACTAAGAAACCAAAAAAAATATAACCTAAAATGATTCATTGAACGCAATAACTGCGGTCAGCTAGATAGCACGTATCGAAAGCTGCTACAGGTCATCACAAAGCTTCCTGGACCCAAGCCAAAATAAGGCAATAAAAATCTTAGACGAAACACTATGGATATAACTTCAATGTAAAACATGAGGTTCTATTAATAACCATACCCCACAATAAATTCAGCCCAAAATTATTTCGAGCGGATAGCCTAAAGACCTAGCTAATTAGCGGATTTCCGTTGCTAAAAGGATGTGTGTGTATGCTTGTAACGTCGCATCTGTTTCTTTATATTTCGCAATCTTTCTATATATTATGAACACGCTAGTTTCATGGACTCAATTTTGTCCATAAAAGCGCAATAGTGTCTGTCGACGATGGTTAAGGACCCGCTATGCAAGTCACTGTCACATATATACATATATATATATATATATATATATATATATATATATATAGTTTTTTGTGGGTTGGGAAAGTATGGTTGACATGTGACTTCGACATCAGAGCATCATGTCTACCTCATATAGACCGAATGGGAGGCTCAGCCCGCCGGTCGGGTCTGTTCGCGTTAAGACACTACTCATTAATTCTTCATCGAAAAGTTGATATGAGAGAGTAACTATCGTCATCCCATGGTCGATCTGGTCAGGTTCTCCATTTCATTAGACAAGGTAGCCCCTGTACAAGAGTATGTCCGTTCCGTGCGTCCTTTAAATCTGACAAAGCATCGTCTGCCATGTTGTTTCAGACGTAGCTTCGCGACTCGTTCTTTTTTTAACACCGACTTTTGCCAAGGTCTCACCTTTTCCCCACGCTCTCATAATCGAACGACAGAAATCGCAGACGGTTTCCCACATTCCCATTTATCCTGTCACGGGCCTCCCGTTAGTATTAGTGAACGCAGGTCGCCAGCATATGGTGTATCGCATCTTCCAAACATGCTTTACCAGCTTTGTAAAGACCACACTGAAACGCATTCTAATCCGTGAAGACCTGTGTGAGATAAACTAGTAGCTAAACTTTTCACTGGGTTCTCCACAGGGTTGTGCAATCTAGACCTATATATTAGGAATGATGTCCTTTGTTGTTGTTCCCGGAGCTAAATTAAATATTGTCTCACACTCTTTTTGCCACATTTTTTGACTTCGACTTTCGCGTCATCTGTCAGATCGTGATAAAGCATGCGCTTTCAGCTTTTAGGTCCCAGGGAATTGTGCCTGCCAGGACTAAATCCACATTTGTGCTGACCGTGCAGTAGTTTGGCTTGGATAATCTTAAGCGTAAGAGTTCGCTGGACACATCTAAACAGCTGCTTGACCGTGACGTCTTTTAGTTCAGATAATGTCTAAACAAGTTCCCCGAAGGGCACAAGGGACCTTTCTAGTGTTGTGGGCCATTGACGTTTGGCAGTGTCTCCGCGATTTCCATGGAGGCTTTAATCACTTTTAAGGCGAACCTGATGTGGTGAACTCGTTTAAGAGCGTAATCGAGTTGAATGCTAGCGCATCTCGCCGTTTCTGCTAAGTTTATTTTTTCGCATCCAAAGTAAGTGTCAAAGGCTGGCATTTTTCCTTCCGATAAGTTTTATAGCCTCTGATTTTGCAGGGTAGCCCTTGCTTTTCCTTAGCGTAATTCTACCACCCGGGCTTGAACTATGGCAACGAGAGGTCGTCTGAATAAGATTTAATTTCCGCTTCCAAAGAAAAATTGCTTAGCCTTAGAACCCTATCATATACCATGATCCAGCGGAAACGGCCCAGGATGGACCCTCGTGGAACCCCCTGTTGTCATAGGATTAACAGTTTCTCCTTCGACTACCGATCTGTCCCTCAGAAGACAAAAAAAGACTAAGCGCAGGAGAATTTTTCCTTTCTTCAATTATGTGAGCATTTTCCACCATGGCAGGTTATTAGAAGCATTTTTAATATATAGGAGAATCATCGAAGAAAAGTCTTTTGCTTTAATTGAATCTTCCCTCATTTTGTCAGCTTTCCTGAGAACCCTATCGATCGCTGTCAGCACCGATTTGTTTTTTGAAAGCCATACTAATGATCGTTCGAGAAATCTTTTTTTGGAAAAGTTTCAAGCTTTTGATTTATTATAGCCCCGGTACCTTTCGACAGCATTCTTAGTACACATATAGATCTCTAGAAATTTTTATTTTTAAGGATAAGCACGACCTCACATTTTTTCCACTTTGGTGAAAAATAGCCTGAGCTGAGAGTGCGTGGCGAATACCGTATTGTCAGGGAAGTCTTTAAGTATTTTTGTAATAGCGATTGGACTCCAGTCCGAACCCGGCGCTTTACCCGTTTTGATACGTTCAATTGCTTTCAACACTACTTCCTTCGAAACAGATGTAATCTGTTGTTCAAGGTTTGGGTCTATACACTTACCTCGATAAAAAGAAGAACCAGATGGGAACAACGACCTTGGTACCCATATTTTGTCTTCTTCTGGCAGAATATACCTTTTTGTCCTACCCGCTTTCCTTCTTACAAGCTCATAAAAGCGATCCTATTGATTTTCCCGTATTTATTGCAAAAAATCTCCTCAACGGTTGTCGTTGATCTTTGTCATAAGTTTCCTTTACTTATAATCTTCAATAGCTTCCTAGAACGCACCTAAGTCACCATCCGGCCCTAACTCGTTGTAGTTTTTCCTAGCTCGGTTACATGCTGCTTAACTCTAGGAAACGTCTTCATATCACCAGTGATTTAGGTTTTGACTTATCATACGACCTTCTTACCCTGCGCTCTTCTATTAGGCGCCGCTAAAGATCTTTCCCCCACTCTGTAGGTCTCTATATTTCTGCACCCAGCATTTTACGGCCTCTTTTGCCACTGCAGATTATATGGTAGTATGGATATCTTTTTGATATAATTTTAGACCGAAACTGATATTAAGATTACTATGTGTTGAGAACAGAGAGTTACGTTGAAGCCCACCGCATTTATATCCTTAAAGCAAAACTTACCTCTTTTGGATCTCGACCTGCTGGTGGATGACTATTTACAGGCTAAGTTCCAAAGGATTCAAGCGCGTCTTTTGTATCCTGCAAAAGCTCTAAAATTAGCCCCCGTAAAACGGGAATGAAGTAGTAAAAAGCATGCATCATATTTTCTGTTTTAAACGAAGTCAAACGGTCATAAATAGTGTTATTGTTGTAGAGAGCTTACAAAGACCGGGTATGAGTCAATGTTGAGTGTACGAGTGGTATTAATGGCTTCATGACGGACGGAAAAACCCGAAAGACGACCCTCGCTCTGGGCCTAAAAGGAACAAAAAGCAAAACATAGCATCCTGCAAGATGGCTGAATTACTTCAGGACGTTCAGAAATAATTATATAGGTTAAAAGAATCATGCGGGAATATTTTAAGAAATAATTTGAGAGCGAGAAGCCTGTAACAGGCACTATGCGGAAAAGTCTGAGTGCCGAGCAAATGTGACCCCGTCATAAGCTGTACTAAAAAAGCTTCAACGCAATAGAACAAAAACCAGATTTGTCTGAAGTCAGTATTACGAGTGACGAGACATGGAGACCAATGCACAATCGTCTGTATTACGCTTCATTGGCGAACTCAGACCGAATAATGCTGCAAAGTTCAGGTCTGAAACCAAACATTTTATCGCTGGGTTTTGTCGACGGCTAATGATTTATGCATTATGTAATCATGCAGAATGATCCCCTGAATATTGCCAAGAGGTTTTAAGAAAATTTTGCAATACTGCCCGCTAAACAGGCCTCAATTCTGGGAGAATAAGTTGCGGGTTCATCATCACGATAACGCCCGAGTTCACCTATTTTTATTTGCAAAAGATCTAGATCTAACTATTACCTTAACCCTGGCGTCCTTTAAATGTAGCTTAGTATAGCCTTCTTTGGTATCTAAAACGCATGAGGCGCCTGAAGAGGACAGCAATTGAGAGAAACAATCATGACGAGAGCAGAGACCCATTTCTACGATGAAGTTGAAAAACGATTGGAACCGCACCGCAAAAAAGAGTTGGAAACTTGTATTGAATCCTGCAGGAACTACTACAATGATGATAATTGGAATCTGGGTTTGTCGAAACATGTGCGGTTGATATGGAGCTTGATAGGCGATTTTTCAGCGCAGTCTGTAAATGCTCTTCTTCGAACACGATCCTCTACATGTGCATGCATACGTATTGCTAATGTTGGGTAACATTAATCAACATTAACGTAATGCGCGTTTCTCTCAGATTTTAGCAACAAATCTATATATTACGTATCAGCTGTCACTCTATATAATCTTCTCGCATCTCTTAACCAACGTCGTTGCCAAACATTTTTGGGTTTGGTGTTGAAGAATTTGTCTATCAAATTTTTAGGATCCTTTCTATTATCCAAATGTACCATTATTATTCTTAGAATTTTATTCGCTAGTCAGCAGAAACCGCAATAATCCGTCATAATAATCCGTCAGCGCAAACTCTAGGGAACATGACGGGTGAAAGCGAACCTTCTGCTCAAGCTCTCGCAGCGGTTTTGACAAGTTTTCTCATGTGTGGTTGGGCATTGCCGTGGAGAACGATGATTTGGCTATGTCTGTTCTATCGTCGATAGTCCATTCTACTGGGTACAATTGGCTTATATATAGATGCTTGTAAACTGTTTCGTTTCACGGAAGATTCTTTGATGAATATATGCCTTCTTTTGTTATGCTATGATATACCCATTACGTTTCGTCACATTTAACAATTTCATCTGAAAATCTTCCGCTGTGGCTGTGAATTGCTCGGTGTCCTTGATCCGGGAAACAATGAAAGGCTGCATTTTCCGTACTTTTCAATTACGTATCGCTAATTTTTGAGCAAATTGCATTGCGTGAAAATAGCTGATGATCGCCAGAACACCTCGCTTCGCCATTTCACCGTCTGTTTGCTGGTTTCCTTTGTTAAAGACTTCTTCCGACACTTTTCGTCAATTTCGGATGCCGGATCGTGGCGGGGCGCATTCTCCAGTTCGAAGATTGCAATACTGAATTGAACAAATCACACTTGAGCAGTCTTCTTAGCTATGGACTTTATATCGTGTATGGCGTAAGTACTTCGGGCTAGTTCGACGGTCGTTTTCTCTCAGTAGAAGGTGAAACGTTTGTGTCGTATATATCAAAAACGCGTTTGTATTTACTAGATATATGGATTTTCGGTGCCCTAACAGAAAAAAAAAGTTACCACGGGCTCATAAAGGAGAAAGAGCGCCTGCTCGAGAAATATACAGACGTAAACAAGCGGTAATAAAGAAAAATTCTAATATTTTACATAAGCCGACATTACTTTAAACAATCCGACACAATGATGATAATTAGTAGAAGTTGTCCTGACAATCCAGCTTTGACGCTTGGTCTTGTTTCAACTTTAGATATAATTCGACTCTAATTCCACCATTGTTTGTTTGCAAAGGCCGAATGTCTGGCTGGCTCCTTCAACTAATAGTTTCGGTAATGTAGGTACAAGAATCGTACTTCTAGTAGATTAGCTGAAATAGCCCCTCATTGGACTCCTTTACGTAGAATTGTACGTATCTGGGTCCCCTCAAGTTTGGATGCCAATCATTTTCACCAGTATTCGAAGCTAGAAAGTCAGATTTTCGTTCTCTATTAAGAGTGTTTTTTCAACTTTTTAAAATTTTACTTTTCAATCAAGATGCGACACAATTAAAACGCTGTGTCGACGAGGGACAGTACTACCAGCCAAATTTCACGCGCGAAAATCGATCTTAGATGTCCTGTACGAAATTTCATCTATTTGTTAAGGTTAACTTATGGAAAAGTTAGAGAATCGAAAAACAGCAAACTTCGAAGATCTTTTTAGTAACTTATTTATCAACAGATCTCCATTTCAAATGGCAAAGCTTCTTAATCGCAATTGGATATGGCATGGATATAGATGCATATCATCCAAAGACATGCTCAGAAAAACTAAAAGTACAAGCATATAAAACTCACGATAAGATGAAGAATAACCCTTTGTTTCAAATCGGAAATTAGCCCTCGGCTCTGATGGAAAGAAGCCTAGGCTGAATGATCAGATTGAGAAGACTGTATAAAATATTTGTAAAGATAACCTCTCCACAAACGAATTATCACTGTTTTCTTTCTGAAAAGTTTAATCGTTTTACGTTATAAGTTGCTTCAATGTGCTGTATTTTGTATAGCGACTTCCCAGATACTATACCGCCAATTTTCTTTCGTCTGGTCCTGCGATGTAAAACAATATTTATGTATTTATTTTGCAATTATATTATTTTACATCTGTAAGGGTTTATATGAAGTTATACGACAATAGAGCTATGATATTTGCCGTTTTCATCTTAATACAAAATGTAGTTATAGCTTTGCTACGAGGTGATGTCTTTCTGTGCGGGAAGCGAAGAGCGACCAAAGGTATATTTCGGATGGTGCGGCTGACGGTAATATCCACTCTTGGTACAAATAGGGGGTACACTCTAGGCACGTACCATTCTTCTTTTTGGTGTAGACATAATTGTGTTTAGTCTCTTTGTTCCTGGAAGTAATCGCTATGATCCTCTGTACTTCAAAGGTTGTTTTTATTAACTTGCACAACTTGAAGCAAAACCTTTACAGCTGGAAAATTAGTTAGTGCCGTAGGAAGAGGAAATGATACCTTTGATTTCCTTTATTAGAATCCTCATTGTAACCCGGCCCATATATGCAACAGTTCAATAAATAGCTTCTTAGTAGAATTTTGCTTTTTATTAGGTATGTTTTTCCATTAGTATCGTATCAGAATGTCCCCAGTGTCTACAGACTACTCCTGCAAGCAGCGTAAATTTGCATTTTAGAGCTACACTTCGAAGGTAAGCTTGTTTACTCGCATCTGGTGCCAACTGCTAGAATTTGAGGTTTGGCTCTTACACGTGTGTACGGTCGCCTGTTCACGTGTGAATGTATGTGTGTGTCACACGCTGTCTAGCCATTGGACAAGTTCAAACTTTCAGGATGGTCATTGTAATTATGACGGTTATTCTGGCCTTAGTACTGAGGTGCAAGTACTATAGAAGCCGGCTGAGTGTACTTCTGTCGTGTGGGCGTTGTGTCGATATTGTAGCTGATCGCCATTGGGGTATCGGCCGTATTAGCTGCGATAGTCGCCCCTCAGGCGCTCTCCGTGGGACTCCGGTACTATGAGCGCTGAGTCCAGACTCTCGTTTCGTTGACGTCTGCAGCGCATCTCTTGGCCGTCCCCCTCGTCCCAACCCTTAACCGCCTTTCCAAAAATTCCTCTCGTGTCGACCCCACCCCATTCGTTCTGTTCACATCGCTTCGTTCGCAGCTCAGTTCTTGGCAGGCGGCTGGCTGCGCCGCGCGTTCATAGACAATGACATTCTGTTTCTGCCCGGCTCGTTCCCGTGGCAGTATTTTGCCTGCCTTTCCTTCCAACCCTCTCCGAACCTTTGGTATGCTGCTGCTGCTGCTACAGACAAGCGAGGCTGTTCTGCCTTCAGTGCTGGCTGGCTTGCGCGGTTCTACAGCTAGTGCCAGTTAGCACGGAGCGCGGTCTGGCTGCTACTGCTGCTGCTAGGCTTGAAGGCAAAGCTAAGGCGAAAGCTAGCGGCTGCAGCGGACGAGCAGGCGCTCTAGGTCGCTTGGTAATCGGCCTTTGGACTGGCGCCCAACGAGTCCACGGGCAAGGGTCCACGGCCCTCTGTTTATGTTAGGATCTGCCAGAGGGCGCGACGGGACGCAGCGCGGAGTGCCCCATGGTGAGTCGGCCAGTCCGCGCGTAACTCGGAGCGGTGCGGTGCTCCGACGTGTAACGAGTGATGAGCTCGCGGGCTCCGGCTGTCTGTACATCGGTCCCGGTCGAACCTACACACACACACTGCCGCTATTTCGCCGTTCAGTGCCGTCTCCACGTTGAGTTTCTATAAGAGTGGAATCGCTAGTAGATTGGGATAGACTAACTGATTCCGACTGCAACCTTCTGCCGCACCAATAACAACAACCACAGCAGAAATTATGGTTGCTATTTCTTCTATCTTCTGTAATTGTATTATTCTTATGCATACGTCCATTACTTTGTCTTCGTTGTCGCCTTCTTCTTCCTGAGCCACAATTCACATAGCAATTACCGATTGCAGCTCTATGGTGGTGCTGCTGCTTTGGTTTGCCTCGTGACTTTATTTAACCGAGTCGAATGTTCTGCTTAGTAGAAATAACCTGACTGGACACCGTAGCTGTGACAGGGCGTGCGTATGTGCTCTCGTTTACAAATTAGCGGTTATAGTGTACTTCCAAATTTAAATGTTTGTATTGTATAGGAAAAAAAATCTTTGCTGATATGTCGTCACAGGTTGTCCATAGCGAACGCAAGATAAACAAAGCTGTTGTGTAACTGTTGCCAGCTTATGTCTAGACGACGCAAAAACGCGTCCGGCAAATCCTCGTTGTTTGGATCGACGAAAACGGTTAGACGAAAGACAACTTCATTAACAACAGTTACAACAACTTCTAAGCATATTGCGTCCGCATGTCGCAAAAACTGTTGACGCTCAGCTGCGAAGTACAACCATCGTTGGTCTCGACGAGCAACAGTTATAGTTACGAAATTGCGTTCTGTAAAAAAAATATCCAACGGCAATAACTTCGGCAACATAACAAATCGTGCCACAAACGCATGTGCTGTTGCTGGCCCCTTCTATGAAGTCATGCAAGGCCGTACTTTGGCGCAATTAGCAGCGTCGAGGTTGTGCTTATTTGCCTTACGATTGCCGCCGTACAAAACAAATAAAGCTGTAACGCAACTTCGATTACTTTCTTCACCATCAGATCATCATCCATGTGTTCATTGCGCGTCATGAGGTCAACGCCGATGTTGACGATGACGTCTGTGAGGCCAATGCCGACAACGACTTCGTTCTATTTGCAGCTGCAACAACTATCTTTGAATGTTCAGCTTTCAGCGTGGCTAGAAGTTGAAGTTTTCTTCATTCGGGTGCTGCAGTGACGACGGCTGTAGCAAAAAAAAGCAGCTACCCCCCAGGTCTCCATTCGTTTCAGCCAGCGGGAAAAAGAACATGCCATGCCCCATCATCATGCTCGCGCGTATGTTCTTCTGCAGTGGCGGGCAAGACTACAATTCGAAACAGGCGTGCTACCACTGTTGCTACTGCATCGTTAGTACAACTTCCTACCTCAGAAGTAATAACAGTAACTGCGGCTGCGGGGGCAGTTTCCGCGGCAGAAGGATCGCCAAGAAGAGGCCAATGTTAAAATGTGATTTGTTGTGAGAGTGAGTTGTAGCGTGATTAACACGACGACGACGACACCGACGACGGCGGGCCTGCTTGCAAAGCTGAGGCCACCAGCGAGAGGCCACCGAGTATGTCCCTGCTGTGGGACCTGGGGTGGCCCCCCTCGAAACACAAGCCCCCGGACGTTGCGGAGCAGCTGCGTTGCCGAAATCGTAGCCGTACCCGTTGTTGCCGATGTAGTCCTATCACGGGTCCTGCATACGGTGGCTTGGCCAGTCATTTGAGGGTCAGCCCGAGCCGCGATTCGGCAGCAGACGTCAACCTAATAGTGGCCCGATTAGTAGCAACAACAGCGTCAGTAGTAAACGTGACGACGAAGCTACAGTGGTCAACTAGCTCTCAACCTGGCTTTTCTCGTCGTCCATGGACAACCTACGCTCAACTTTTTGTTCAACTGTTATCTTTCTTGTTACCGATATCTCTATGTGTGTCGTGTGCTCAAGGCGTAGATCTTCATATCGCAGGATTTTTTCCAACGACGTACAATCTTAGTGAAGGCGCTATCGGTCGCGGGGTAGTTCCTGCAGTCAATCTCGCCCTTGAACACCTCAATAACGCCACGCAGTTTCTGCCAGGATATACGCTTGCTATCCAATGGAATGACACACAGGTACGTTCACTTATTAGCTAGGCCCCATAGAAAGGTGGCTATGTATAATAGAAAGGAGCGGACGAGGTGCAAAAACTGTCTTATTTATTTCATTTGCATGCCCGTTGTGGTACAAGTTTTACAAGCCGAACCCGGATGCTGCCTGTGCCTTCATCCCTCTGCATCTGTCGCTTTCCTCTTCTTGGGTTTAATGTCTCCTCGCCTCTTCCTTTTTCTCCTGCCGTAAGATTCGTCCACCATTCCTAGCAAACTCCACTTCACCAAATCCTCCAGATAAATCTACTTTTCGTGTGTTCTTGCTCTGCAATACATTGTCGAACAAGACAATGTTGCATAGAACCTATAGTAGAAGCAGCGAATACATCTGAAAACTTAACCAATCAGTAGAAGGGTTCTTCCTATATAACAACGTTTCGCAATGGCCATATAGGAGTCGTGCACAGACATACGCACTAACATTATGTATACTTTGATACCTATTTTACCTCGTTTCTGATTCTCCGTCGTTCTCAGTCAGCCCTGGACTGTGTTTCCTCTTCGCCCACTGTGTGCTACAGTAAACCATGCGCCCCATTTCGATCGTTGACGTGCAAAATCGACAGACTCCCTACTAATGCAAAAAAGAACATGAGAGGGGAGGTGGCCCGTGAGGCAGGTGGAATGACTAGATAGGTATAGCGAGTATATAGCGAGTCAAGAAACCACCAGGGACATCTCGTATATGTAACACACACACATACACGTAAGCAAGATAGTTTGAAGAACGACCGAGGTTTGTCGTCGCAGTCGAAACCGCTGAATTTTAGATGCTCGCCTCTAGAACCGACCACTAACTCACGACAGTGCGGAACGATAGCGATAGATATCAAAATAGCGATACAAGTAGCACATACAGCCATATTACAATATAACTTACGTTTACTTAAATACATTACTTAGGTACAATTTAACGCTTATACCTTAATATACCTTTAAATTGGCTGGACGCAACGACAATCTACTGGATTGTCTGTAGACAGCGCCATCCGCCATTAGTCGTAGCTGAACCATAACTAGAGTCATCCATTACTTCTTACAGAGAATAAAAAATGCTAGGCATTGACTGTTCTGATTCCTTAGGTTACATTCAAGCTTCCGCTCGTTTAAAAGGCACTGTCGATGTTATTCTACGGTAAATGAGAGGTAAATTGTTTTTGGTCTCCCAAGAAAGTCTAGGGTATTTACTTTGGGGTTTCCGCGGTGCTTCCGGTAGCAGCGGACGGCGGTCAATACAGGTGATAACCCACAAACACACTTGTCTGCTCCGCGCTGTCAGCTAAAGCAGTTATTGTTTTTGATGAGCGTAAATTGAGGGCATTTCAAAAGGAGAGCAGAATCCGGCCTGTAGCTGTTTATCCCCAGAAATGGTCAATTCGAGAAGGTACCGGTGGGCAATGAGCGCAATGGCGTTCGCCTTAAGTGTACCGTGTCAATAACTATTCACTTTGAATTAAAAGAAAAACCTGCTGATGTTGTGGCATACTAATTTTCGCTGAAGTCAAAATAGATTGTTAGAACTTATCTGTCATATAACAGTCTAATTTTATCCCATAGCGAGAAGCGGAATGTAGATCTGACCTCGTATTTCGAGAGAATTCCTAACGATATGTAACATATACACGCATAGCAGGTAGACTATACAATATGTATATGTGCAAGGGCGTAAACAGAACTTCAGGACATCAGGCCGCCTTCTCACTATGGTTCGAGACTTTTTTCCAGGATAGAGGCAACTAGTTACTGACGTTGATGGAAGCTCATGCCGCACGGTTTGCCTTTCATGTTTGTTCGCAGATGAGGAGTAAGATCGCAGCATAAAATAACGCAATGTTTACTTATCCGTTTTATCACGATCGCCCTAAACGTGCTTCGGAAGAGTCGGTAGGATGGACACGGTATCGGAAAAAGCTTTTTGCTTCGGTCTTGTTCCACTCCTTTCAAGGCAGATACCAGACCTCATAATAGAGCCCTAATTGAATAAGTACATGTACTGATGCCAGTTTGTGACACAAGTGCAACAGCTAAGAAAACAAACGTTTTATTTGAGAAGACCGAGCTCAAGCCAGACCCTTTTCCTCGCTACTAATGTTAACTTTAGTTAGTTTCGTCACCTAGCTTTGTTCGACGAAGCAGCCGCTTTGCCTGTTGGCCTAAAGCAGCTTCTGTTCGAGTCGGTCTAGCTTGCTAGCTCCAATAAGGCCGCTTGTCTACCAATCGATGTGAGGGAATCTATAATAGCTAATTTTGGTAGCGGCCACTTTCAGCAGGCATATCTACAGGACACTGTTAGCTAAGCGGTCTCGAGATTGTAGCTTTCCCTGACGTCCTGGTCTTCTGACTGGGCAGTTCTTTTCGTTGAACAAATAAGTGTTTATCCGCTGGGCACAGACCACCGTTGAGTATTACTCATTTGGATTAAATTACGATACACGCATACAGAAAAAAAGTAAATATAGATAGATACGCAGGCTATTCTCAGTCATCGTATTTAATTATCGCTGTTTTCTAAGAACGTTATCATGGCTTACTAAGCGTTTGTTGAACGAGCAGCAGCTATCTAACGGTACTTGTTCTAGATCGACTGACCGAACTATTTTATAGCTCGTCTTAGAAGAAGAAGAGATCACACGACCCTAATAGGTTTGGCGTAAAGGGTTTTGATTTTCTGAAAATTGATACGCTGTGTGAACGCTTGACCATACACCCGCATACACCCCCGTAGATGATCACGCGCTGCAGACTATGCTGAATCGATTACAGGAGTGACAAGCCAAACACGTAAATTATCCTCTGTCCTTATGGATATGTCCCGACGTCGACCTAAAACTCTACTTCAGCATCGTTCTAGTAACTCAAAGGCAAGTCAACTATCAACCAACAGAAGATGGCGTCTGTTGGTGTCTCTTTTCGACAACATTTCAATATCGATCTATTGCTTTGTTCACTGATCGGCTCGGGGCCATTACTTGCGCGTAATACTGAGTAGACAAAGCAGATGGCTGCGAACGCACGATCAGGAAACGGATATGTAGAGATCCAGGACTCCTGCACAACACTCTCTTAGAGATTAGCTGCTATACAACTCGTTACAAAGTGTTGTTAACTAGCGTTTGTACGCCAGCTAAGGTAAAGATAAAGTTTGACTAGTGAAACAACGAAAGCGCCGCTGGAAAGCAACAAAATGAAAACAATTAGTTTTATTTTTATTATGTACCTGGTCGATATCGTTAAAAGTACGAGGAGGGTTTGCTTTGCCTTACTTAGTTCGTTTTATCGGTATCTTACATATTTCTCGAATAATATATATGCAATAATTGTATCAAACTTTGGCATGCTAATGATTTAGAGAGGGGCATATTGGCTAGAGGATCATTTGATGATCGTACTGATTCACCATCAAAACTAATTTTCTGTCTTATCACGTCTCCAATGTTGTGACAATCTTGACCGTTACAAGAAATAGATAGAAGATTGATGGATATTAATTGTACGCTCATTGAATATTGATAGCACCTGGATAGGTTAGCAGGGTGTCACCTAACCGAACCTAGGTGATTTATTTTTGGGTTTGCCTATTTTTTCGAATGATGGAGCATTCTGTACTTAGTTTCGTGGGGAAATATCGACGCCCACCTTCACCTATGGAAATACATAAAAAGTATCGAAATCAACTGTGAGGCTTAAAATGGGACCTATAAACGTAATAAGTTTGACAGTTTGGCTGCATTCAGGCTTGGGGATTCACTAGTTAACTATTGTATACGGCTCCGAAGGCGGAGGGCCGTCCAGTAATCCGTTACACTTTGCTCAAGAGCTGAAATTACACATCGGTCACGGCTCGCCTTGTTTTATGAGAGGTCTCCGACATCGCTGGAGAGGGAAAACCCCCTACATTCCAAATCGAGTAAAGTATTTCGAGAGGAAACGCGCAGTCGATGAAATAGAGACTGAGCTAATGAGATCTTTCGTGTGGGCGAGCTATGCCACACTTGGACACTTCGACAGAACGACGAAGCGAGCGCGACTTGACCGTGATTGAACTTGCCCCTATTAGTACGCAAATGCTTATGTCCTCACCCCAGCTGCCTCTCAGTTGCCCTTTTCACTAGGATAGTCTCTGAACTCATCAAGCTGACTCCAATTCAACCCCTATAGCCTCGGCTAATGAACAACTCAATGGAGAGCCAGCAGCAGAAAAAGCAGCTACAGCAGCGTATATAAATTTGCATCTGTTTGGCGCATTTCCCAAGCAAAATATGGTAGAAAGCTAAGTTTTCGGTCGAGATTTTTCGTTATAGCTCTCTGTAGGTATGATATACGCGGTTCGGGTACGTGCAAAACGGGTAACACAGTCGTCAACAGCTTCGAAAAACAAAGCCCATACTGAGGAACCGTTTGTACAATCCCGAAAATTACTACCGCAATCCTATTCTACCGAACAGTTACTTGAAATACCCACATACGTAACTCATGGCGCTAACTAATAAAGCTTAAACTAAGTTTACATGCTTGAAATTAAGAGTGGAACTCAGCTGTTGGAATTACTGCTAAGTCCAGTATGCTAAGCCAGTTAAGTTTTACTTGATTATATAGTATTAAGGACAGGGTTGGATAAACGTTGAATCGAACCTAAAACTTAAGTTATTTTGTTGAAGGCGTTTTTAATCGAGTCGTACAGTTAGCTCCATCGATATCCTATTTCCATACAGTACATTCCAAACATACAAGTTGAACTTCAGAAGCAATTACTAAAATAGGCGTGCATCAATTATCACACCTTTGCATGGTTACGGTTTTCAAGCGGCGCACGGCGTGCACGGAACAAGTGCATGATGCAATCTGTCAATGGAGCTCGTGATGGTCGTTCTTACCGGTCTTGCTAGTCTGGAATCTCTGCGCCGTCCGCCTCTAGCGGGATTGCCCGAGGAGAGCCGCGCGTAACGAGCGACTCATCGCGAGTCATTAGTAATACTGTGTCATCAGGCAGCGTTCGTGCAGTGTTTACCCAGCCTCGCTAACCGCGTAACGGTTCAACAGCGTACATGCATTAAAAGTGGGTGCGGCTATACACATTGAATGTTTAATAGGTTGTACATCGTCCAGTCAAATGTAATGGCGCCTGTACGTTACACTGGCAATGGAGCGAAACTTTTTTTTGGCGTGGCTATCTGTAGGCATGATAACAAGGGCACAAAGGTGTTATAGTTGGAGTATTGCTCCAGGGTCTTTACTCTAATGAAATATGAAATAATTGAGTCTAATGATCTATGTGAGCATTAGTAAACGTTCACGGTAGTTCGGCCTTGTTTTGAACGCGTCAATGTTATGGAGCGTTTTACCTTGTGCTAATACCTATCAATATGTTACACGTGTTGCCATTCTCAAAGTCTTAGAAACAAGGTTTACGCAACGTATTTACGTGTACGCGCTTGTAGAAGCTTGAATTTGAAACGAAAGCCAAGGCTGTATCTGAGTGCTGTCCGTAATGGTCTATTTTCGTAGCAACCCCTTTGGTGATCTGTGGCAGATCTTTCGTTCAGTTCATAGAAAATTAAATAAAAGGGGCTTGAGATGAAAATAAATTTAAATTTCGGATGGATCTGTGTCTATGAATATGTGCACGTCATTTATGGTCAGGCCTGCTTAATAAATTGACTAAGGCAGTGTAGCATAACAGACAATTTTGCTCTTTAGTCTCAGCAGCGTGCAGCATCGCGTAAGGAAAAAAAGGAAGGATATGTTATACAAAGTGGATATACAGGTGGACTTAATCTGCATGACTGGAAACCTCTGAATTTTGTCAAAGTACGTCTACGTCTCACTCTATATGTGTATAGGCGGGTGTGTATATGGGTGATGTATCCTTGTACCAAGCCTAGGGTATATGCAGGTAACAGAAGCTTGTCAACATCTTGTGCTCGCTGATTCCTTGTGGTCATCAACTGTCTTGTTTCCCTAGCGCGCGCATGCTCCTATTCGAGTGACTCTATCTGACCGGGTTACGCCAAGCGCACCTACGCCATGGAAGATGGACACAGCTGATCGCAGGCAGCAACCAACGGTGGGGCTGAGGCACAGTCGGGTTTAAAAACTTGCTGGCCTGAAACTTGCTACGGGAACTCGGGCCCCTGCTAGAC